AATTGGGATGTGAAGGTAGGCATCCTTGAGGTCTACAGAAGTCATCCAATCCCCTTCTTGAATGTACCCCAAAATGGATTTCAGGGATTGCATTTTGAACTGATGGTAAAGTACAAATTTGTTCAATTCCTTGAGGTCCAAAATTCCTCTGCAGCCGCCGGAATGTTTTGGAACAAGGAAAAAGATTGAATAGAAAACGGTCCCATGGTGTTCTGTGGGAACCGGCTCTATGGCACAAATGTCGAGAAGATGTTGTATTTCCGCCTCCATCAGTCGACGTTTGGTCGGGTTGGACGACACTGAGCACTGGACGAACCTGGTGTGAGGGCAGGAGCGGAGCTCCAAGGTCAAACCTAGCCATAACGTCTGTAAATCCCAGGCGTCCTTCGTTGTGGATTCCCACTGGACGGTGAAGTGTTGGAGGCAGCTGCCAATGGGAAAGTGATGGAGGGAGTCACTTGCCCCTCCGGAAGGCACGGGTCCCCGTACCTCTGAAGGGCTGCTTGACTGGGGCCAAGCATCTGCTGCAATCTCTGAAGGAGGATCTATCGTATGGACGGTCAAATCCCAGAGAGTACTGTCTTGCAGCGAAGGACCTGCTGGGTCCTGGATCAGCTTGAAAGGGCAGCCTCTGGCTATATGAGGGAAATTTGCGATCAGTCTGCCTGTATGAGGAGGGCATGACCTTACGCTTGTCTTTGTCCTCTATCAGAATCGGATCCAAAGCCTCCCCGAAGAGGTGGGACCCTTTGTAGGGAGCCGATGCGAGATGCCACTTTGACTTCATATCTGCTCTCCAGTGCCTCAGCCAAAGCAGACGCCTGGATGTCACTGTCAAGACCAAGGCACGAGACGCGAATTTGGCGGCATTAAGAGAAGTGTCAGCAGAAGTGTCCGTCACCGCCACAACCTTATTGATGTCTTGGTGGACTCTTGTGTCCTCCGGTGGCAAATGCTCTTGGAGTTGGCGCAGCCAAATGAGAGTCGCCCGATTAAAAAATGACGCTGAGGTAGCTGCTCTGACCGTCCAAGCCGCAGCATTGTGTGTCTTGCGGAATGTAAGTTCTGCCTTCCGATCCTCCGTCCAGAGGCCATCAGCGATGTCGTGAGACAGGAGAGAGGAGGACGAAGTCAAGTTAGCCACAGGAGTGTCCACAGCAGGTAAGGACAGTAAGTCCTGGAGGCACGGAGCCGAACAATATAATTTCTGGTCAAGCCCTGTAGGTGCCGGCAAGGATGACGGCAGGGTCCAAGAACGTTGGACAACTTCCGTGAAAAGTTGAGGGCACAGAATGTAGGTTTGTTCGGTCTTGGGAAGATTAAACAGAGCATCATGTGGTTGAGATGCCTTTGGCGGATCAGAAAGACCATCGGAGGTGGCCAAATGAGTGGTCGATTTTGCCTTGTGTAACAAGGACTTAAATAGAGATGGCCGGAAGAGGCCGGTAAAGGCTGGCCTATCCGGAAGGAGATCCTCATCGTCGGAGAATTCCATGTCCCTGTGGGCCTCATCCTCCAGGAAGGAGTCATCAGCATGGGCATAGTCCAGCTGAGAGGAATAGTGGTCTGCCGGACCATCATAGTGAAAGACCTAAGGAGGTGGAGGAGGAGGCGGAGGCAGGGGAGGAGGAGGAGGAGGATCAGCAATTGGCACAGGCCTGTACGACATTGGTTGGTAAGCACTAGCAGCCAATATTTTAGATATAGTCTGAGAAATGAGTCTCTCAATGTCAGAAGGTAACATTGCATGCGACGGTCCCACAGGGAGGAGCCCCGCGGCTGTGGGGGTATAGGTTGCCTCCGGAAGAGGGTGCTTAGCAGGAGGTCGGGGATGAGACAAATCCACAGGAACTGCCATGCCATGCAAGGGGACAGTGGAAGGAATTGCCACATCCGCCATTGGGGAAAAAATGGTCACAGGGGCGTGACCCTGGAACTCAGATGGTAGGATCCTCGAGTGGGGAATGGAAGGCACAGTAGAGTGGACAGTTGGAGCATCTGCGTGTGAGGCTGACTTATGTGCCTTTTGCTGTGCCAAGTCAAATTGCCGCTCTAGCGCCTTATGGCGTTTGCCGGCATCTTTGGTAGCTGCTGATGAGCTGTTACTGTTCCCCGCTGACGGAGGTTTAGCGATGGCAGTCCCGTGCTTGACCCGCTTCTTCGCCTTTTTCTTTGCAGGGCCTGGAGAAGCTGGAGCCTCAGGGGACCCATGGCTGTGTTCCAGGTTGAAGGAGAGCTCGCAGTCAGCCATGCTGAGCAGCGCTGAAGAAGATACAAGGAAAAAAAGGTAAGCGGTTGTTTTGTATTTATTATATTTTGTTTTGTTTTTTGTTTTTTGTGGTGGGTTGCGCTAAGGTAGCGACCCTACCCCCTCCAGCACAGGTCTGTTGTGATCCTGTGCTAATACGAAAAGAGACCTCTCAGGTAGTCCCAGTGATTAAGGTCCACAGGGAAATGTGAGCTGATTGCCACAGACGGTCTATTAGGGGCAGATTTGGAAAATGTCCTGTTATAACCTCTGGAGGGCGCTAGAGCGGCTTGCTCACTCTGCGCAGCCGCAAAACTGGCCCTCAATGATTGTTGGCAATGCTTCTGCTCAGCCACAGCTTCTGTGCTGGCAGCGAACGTCACTGTTCTGTCCCCGTCTCCACACACACACACACAGCCAGCCGAGGGTTAAAGGAAGCACTTGGCACGCACACAGTTTGTTATCAGAAACTTGGCAGCAATACGAGCACTGACTGCCAAGTGCTTTTACTTCAATAAACGGGAGTATCCCTTCACCATATAAACAGAAATACACACAGTTTGCAAATAGTCCAGTTCAAAACAAGTAACCTTCGGCAGATTTAGGCGTTGTTCAAAGTGACTAGCCAGAGTTAGTTTTTGTCCGTCACAGAGTTTTAAATGGCCACCACACTCTCTTAATATAGTCTCTGGGGTGTGGTCCAGTGACTCAGCCTAATCCCTGGCACGCCTCCTCAACTGCTGCAACCGTTTATCACGCCTTCGTTGGCGTGGATCCAGGAACGACAGATCGCCTCCATCGCTATCATCGGAGACACCTGGCTCCTGGCTAATCTCCTCTTCCTCGGCCGGCACCTGAGGCAGTGCCAGAGAGGAGGGGCCTGGAGAAGGAGGCCTGGCCGACTCCTCTCCTTCATGTTCGGAGCCTTCTCCCTCCGATAAGATAGGTTCAGAGGACGGAGCCACAACAGTCACAAGCCTCAACGCACAGCCGCAGCATTGTTGGGAGGCAGAGAAACAACAGGGGAGTTCACTGAGCAGCCGCGGTGTTGTTGCCAGGCAGATTACCACAGGGAGCTTACTGCGCATGCGCAGGGTTGTTGCCGGGCAGAAAATCGCCGGGAAGGGCGAATTGCGCCTCACTGTAATGGCGGCCCCACGAGCGATTCAAATGGCGCAAACACAAGCAATCTCTGTTCAGCGCCAATCTGCCAAGCCCTCAGGCAATATTAGATGCGCAGCTACTCAAAAGTGGCCCCAGCGCGTTGGAGAAGCCAAAAGGGAAGAGTGTGCCCCTGAGAGCAGGGCAGGGACTCTATAAGCGGCAAATGGGCTCCGAGGAAGGAGTGTACCGCTGAGAGCAGGGCAGGGACTCCGTAGCCGCCCTGATGCCAGCCGATGGAAGGAGACCTCAGTGAGAAGGTGCCCTAGACAGGGCAGAGCTTCTGTCAGTCAATATGGAGAAATAGGGGTAGCCAGTCTGGGAGGCCAGAAAGGACTTACTCTTCAGGTAGCGGTGAGGGGGAGAAGGGAGGAGAATCACCCCTTGTCCCAATACAGTCAAGAGATTGAAAGTCAAAGTCGAAGTCCAAAAATGTCAAGAAATGAGAATCCAAAGCAAATATATTCAATAGTCTAGACACCAGAGATGAGAAAACAAGTCTGAATAGCTAACTGAGTGAATAAAAACTGAGGTTCAGACAAAGGGGGCGTGCCTGAAGAAATTTAAAGATACATACACTCAGTGCTGACTGCTAGACTGTTGAAGAACCCTCGCTTTGGATTCTCCAAGCAGCGCGCTGGAGAAAGCAGGATTTCATGCTTTCTAGCTATTTTAAATCGCGCAGCACAGCTGATCTTCGGAAATACCAATCTGGAGGAACCGGTAGCTTTTTTTTACTACTAGTTCACCTGAACCGGTAGTTTTTATTACTACTGGTTCACCTGAACCAGTAGTTTTTATTACTACTGGCCCACCCGAACTGCTGCGAACTGGTAGCATTTCACCACTGGATAGTTGTACACCACTTTAGATTCAAAGGCAAAAAGGGGCCTTCAGACTGCATAGAAATATGTATCTGCTACTTCTAAAACCAATTTGTATGTCATCTGCGCATATTAAAAATATAATTTTGTTTTTATATACTACTGTATATCTTTTACATTTGTTCTGAAGAATTTTATTACGTAAGTGACAAGATTAAAAAATAATTCATTATGCTTAGCCAATCATGACAAACAACTTCAATCCTTTGGAAAACTAAACTTCTTAGATCAGGGTCTCAAATTTAAGTACTCCGAACAGTCTTTGATAAATGTCTTCATTAAGTCTTGCTTGGGGATTACTTTTAATTTTGAAAAGGTATTTCCTCATCTCCCAAAAATACAAATATGTAAATTTTAGGGAGTACATACAAATCAAAGTTTAAATGGAGTCTTCCTAGTAAACTGGAAGATTGTATACAATAGAAAAATAACAAAATGCTGTGTATTACTCACCTGAACCTCTGATAGACTTATCTACTCAACCAATAAAAGCATGAAAAAATCAGAGAAATGCCTATACATAATAACAATAATCATTTTCTCCATTTCTAATTCTTAGTTCAAAATAAAAATATTTGATACTTTACAACTACAATAAAGAGGTACAATATTTTTTCTCAATGTTCTTTATTACTGAAATGGTTGACAAAAACATTTATCTCTTAACCTATTATACAAAGAGATAACTATAAGTCAATGATACGTACCTGACCAATGCCCTGTAGTACTTCCTGATCTATCAGTACATGTTTCACTCACTGGCTGAAAAACAGTCTCCCAGCCTCCAGTTGCGTAGCGCCAATTCTGAGATTCCAAAATCAGTGTCCTTTCAGTGCCATATGCTATCATGAAGCAATAGACCACGTGATGAAGTTGACAACCATAACCACATCCTTTGTTGATATTGCATATTAGTTTCTTGGCTTTGCTACAATCCTTGGGATTCTATGAACAATAAAGGGAATGTGAAAAAATATATGTACAAGGACCTTTTTCAAAATAAATATGAGCAAAAATGAACACATACCATATATCTGCCTGAAAAATGCCACACTCTAATCTGTTAGATCAGCGGTTCTCAACCTGGGGGTCGCAACCCCTTTGGGGGTCGAACGGCCATTTCACAGGGGTCGCCAAAGCCCTCTCTCGCCCCCCCCCCACACCTTCACTCACCCTCACCCTCTGCCTCTGTTGGATCGCCGGTCGCCGGTTGCTTACCCCGCCCTCTCCCAATCTATTGTTGCCTCCTGAGTCCCAGCTGATGGCTAAAGGGAAAAAACTGTTTAAATTCTTGCCGTGGGGCTTCAAAGGGCCGCCCTACAGGTGATCAGTGTTAAAAGAAAACAAATGAGAAGACCGGTGCCTGCAAAAATAGAAAAAAACAGCCTCTTTCAGCTTCAGCATAGGTTAATTAGCATGATTAGATCGGTTTCCGACTCTCAGCTGATTCGCTCTCAGCTGTTTTGCGCAGGCTCTTTTGCAAGCTCTTGTTTTGCAAGCTGCTGGAGTAGATTTTTTTTTCCCAAGCTAAAAGGAAACTGAAAGTAAAGCAGGCTCTGCTCCAACGTGACAAAATGAGGCACGGAGAGGGATTTCTTTTTCTTTTTCTTTCTCTTTCTCCTCACCAAAAAAGGTAGGTGCAAACAATGGGAAATTTAGGGCAAAAGAGGAGAGTTCAAGATTTTAAAACACAAAAACAGCTGCCTGCAATTTCTGCTGGTTCGAATCTCTCCAAGGCTCAAGGTTGACTCAGCCTTCCATCCTTTCTAAGGTAGGTGAAATGAGGACCCAGTTTGTGGGGGCAATAAGCTGACTTTGTATAAAATATACAAAAGAATGAAGGCTATTGCTTAACGCATTGTAAGCCGCCCTGAGTCTCCGGAGAAGGGCGGCATATAAATCAAATTAAAAAAAAGAAAAAAAAGAAAAAAAGCTCTATTTAACTAGGGAATTGTAATAATTGAGATACTATTAATTGTATATTGTGTTGAAAGCAGAAATGGTTAAGTTGTGGTTTGGAGGAATATATGGGGGAAATTATTTGGTTTATTATTATTGCTAAATATAATTAATTGATCTGTAAGAAATTGGATTGCATGGAAATAATTGGAATATTCATGTTCATATTGATTAATATACAAAAAAGATAGTTATATAACTATTTGATTTATATTAAAATGTTGAATTTGTATTAAACAACTGTATTACATAATTACATAATTAACCAATGTGAGGATGGATATAAAAATAGATGACAATGGGAAGGGGTATAATATAGAATAGAAGGGAAAAATTGAATTTGATTAAGATTAGAGATGAGGATAAAGGGTAATATTGGTTTTTTAAAAAAATAGATGAGGAATAAATATGGCAAAAATAAAATATAGAAATTGTAAATTTAATTGAAATGACTAAACACTGGTTAAATTTGTGAACCGGCCAAATACTCTGTTCAAAGAAAATACATTGTATGTTTGTATGTGTGTTTCTAATTATTGCTATTTATTCACATTTGTTCTTTTTTATTCTTTAAAGTTTAACAATTCATTCTTTATCTTAATATCTTTATATTTGTTTGGGGTTGGCTTTCTTCCCTTTCATCTTTTTTATTGTACAGCAATCTTTCTCCTCAAACCTACCACCTCTCTCTTTTCTTTCCTTCTTACTTTCTCTTCCCCCGCTCTTCTTCTCCTTTCTACTTCCTCTTCCTTTCTCCTTCTCCTCCTCTCTTCCTCCCTCTCTTACCCTCACTCCTACTCTAATTTCCCTTCCCTTCCTTCATCCCTCTCTATTGCTGTATCCTTTTATGCATATGGACTACTCAGAGGGCTGAAAAAGTTATTTTTGACTGGTCCTCGCCTTTTGACCAGTCCTCGAATTTACGACTGTCCTCACATTTTACATTTTTGCCCTATCTTGTCACCATGGTGAAGAGAAGCAGTTGTGAAATGAGTGACATGGTTGTTAAGAATGCTGCATGGGCATAAATGTGAGGATGGTCATAAGTGTGAGGACCAATCAAAAGTGCGAGGATCTGTCAGAAATGACTTTTTTCAGCCCTCTGGGTAGTCCTTTTGTGCACATGGACTACTCAGAGGGCTGAAAAAGTTATTTTTGACTGGTCCTCGCACTTTTGACCAGTCCTCGAATTTACGACTGTCCTCACATTTTACATTTTTGCCCTATCTTGTCACCATGGTGAAGAGAAGCAGTTGTGAAATGAGTGACATGGTTGTTAAGAATGCTGCATGGGCATAAATGTGAGGATGGTCATAAGTGTGAGGACCAATCAAAAGTGCGAGGATCTGTCAGAAATGACTTTTTTCAGCCCTCTGGGTAGTCCTTTTGTGCACATGGACTACTCAGAGGGCTGAAAAAGTTATTTTTGACTGGTCCTCACACTTTTGACCAGTCCTCGAATTTATGACTGTCCTCACATTTTACGTTTTTTGCCCTATCTTATCACCATGGTGAAGAGAAGCAATTGTGAAATGAGTGACATGGTTGTTAAGAATGCTGCACGGGCATAAATGTGAGGATGGTCATAAGTGTGAGGACCAAATCAAAAGTGCGAGGATCTGTCAGAAATGACTTTTTTCAGCCCTCTGAGTAGTCCCTATATACATAGCCATGGCCACCCGATCACATGACCAGCTAGCCACGCCCACCCAGTCACATGACCTCCAAGCCACCACCACAAAATAAGCCACGCCCACAGAACCGATAGTAAAAAACTTTAGAACCCACCCCTGGTTGGGGATCACCACAACATGAGGAACTGTATTAATGGGTCACGGCATTAGGAAGGTTGAGAACCACTGCGTTAGATTGTTTTAAATACTATTTATTTTCCCTCTGTATTTATTGCTCTGTTACGTGATAAGGTAATAAAGAAAAAAAAGTGAGTCACTCGGAGTTTTTTTTTTATATACAGAAATACTTATTAATGATGGGGGCACATGGTAATTGAAGATACTGAATATGCTGTTGGAAGCAGGACTTGATGTTACCCTAACATGGTCGATGGAATTAACAATCTAGTTGAAAGACATTACAGAAGATACTATATGGAATACAAATTTAAAGTCACTTGAGGGTTTTATTTATATATGGAAATATCTCTTAGTGATACGGGCAGAAGAATAAAGATATTAAATATATTATGTATGGTAGACCTGCAGGAAAGTGGGTGAAACAAAATTGATATGGTACAAGGTGATAGGTAATGTTTCTGATTGCTTAGTTTAGGAAAAGGGATGTTATGTTTAGATATTAATATACTTAAAAGATTTGAATTAAGAGATATATGTATGGGGTGGAGGAAATGGGTAGATTATGAGTAGAATAAATGCCAAATTAGGATCTATTATATAGTTTTATAGCCGAATGCTGTTTTGAGATGTATAGTATACCGGGGACATAATAATAATGTTAGAAAGAAATGTTTAGCACATAGGGGGTGGTGTAAAAGGGTGGTAAAGTATTATATAATGTGATATTAATTTGGATTTCATCTTGCAGAAGCCATGGGGGGAGGGGAGGGGGAGGGGGGGTTAGGGAGGGGGGGGAAGGGGAAAAATTTGTATTTGAAAAACTTTTTCAATAAAAAAGAAAAAAAAGTGCTTTAGAACTTATTTTGTCCCTGCACTGAGGTTGTCTAAAAGACCCAGTTATGTTTAATTTATACAAGACACAGATGGCAATGCCATTTTGCCCTTAGAATAAATACAGATATTAATAATGTTACCTTTAAAACTTCTTATTATTCCAATTTCTTTTTAAAATATCATTTCACAGGAACCTTGACATCTGTTATGTACTTGCTTTAGGATATTTTATTCATTTATTATTATTTATTACATTTATATTTTCCTTAAATATGAAGGTATTTAGGATAATCTTTATCTGTGCTCACCTCCAATTCTTATGATGTATTTATGAATTATTACAAAACAAAAACTGGAAATATGAAGATGCTTGGAGTAAAATGCTTAATTACCAATTAAATTATCTGAATTCATCTAAAACATAAGTGCTTCCTGAATTGTTTTGAGATTTACAGAAAAATGTGAAAAAGGTTATTTCACCTGGGATAGTCACTATGAAAATCTAAGACAAATACCAGCACTATTTCATAAACATTCAGATGAATGCTAAATACTCAGAAATAATTAAATGAAGCTTTCCTTGGTACTAGGAATTCCAGAATATTCCCCAAAAATGAATAATTTTCATGATGTAATCAAATATGGAATATCTAATAATAGTGCTTGCAGTGCTTTAGATACAATTAAAAAAAGTAGAAACATGAAACAAATCCCTCTTTGCAAACCTTTAAAGCAAATTCATTTTTTCCTAGAATCAAACCGTCTTCTGCTGCGGCCATGCAATTTATAAAAAAGTTTGGCTGCTTTAAGGTAACACAGGTAGATGCTACCTCCAAAAAAACATATTCCTGAAACTGAATCCAAAGCACTGCACAACCCTACTTGATGAAATAATAAACTCTTTGTTAATGAAGAATAAGTAAGATCTTTTTCTCTTCTATAGAATCTGATATTTGGTTAAAGGATATTCATTTTTTTGGTTTCCAATCATGTTTATTCATTCATAAAAAATTTTGTATACACAAATTTCCAGAGTTGCTTCAGAACTTTGTAAAATGACATATTTTTAGATTAAGTAATAATAGAATAAAGGCTTGAGGAATCAGACTAATATACTGATTTTTATTACCTAAAGGACTGGAATTGCAAAAAAAATGAGTATCCTTTAACCAAATATCAGATTCTATCCAATAGAGAACTAGGCTTCTGGTCACACAATGGGACATCTCCTTTCTCTTCCCTAGTTCCATTTATACCCTGACACTTCTCTGAAGAGTCCCCTGAACTTTTGAGCAGATTGGACGCAGGAGGACGTAGGAACAGGGAAATTCATTCCACCAACAAAGTATATTATTTTATTTACCGAATGGGATTCTTCTTTCTAAATACTTAAGTTTTGAATATTATTTGCAGTATATTATTATATTGTCCTATACAGGTAGTCCTTGACTTATAACAGTTCATTTAGTGACCATTTGAAGTTACGACACTGAAAAAAGTGACTTATGACTGCTTTCCACAATTATGACCTTTGCAGCATCCGCATGATCATGTGATCAAAATTCAGATACTTGGCAACTGTTTCATACTTATGACCATTTCAATGTCTCAGGGTCATGTGATCACATCTCAATGGGGAAGCCAAGTTAACTTAACAAACGTGTTACTAATTTAACAACTGCGGTGATTCATGTAACAACTGTGGCAAGAAAAGTTGTAAAAAGGGGTAGAATTCACTTAACAAATTTCTCACTTAGCAACATAAATTTTGGGCTCAATTGTGGTCATACGTCGAGGACTACCTGTATAGACTTTCCCCAGAATTGTTACCTGCAGATAAGTTATTCTCCTCTGCACTAGCTCTGTCAAATCTTTGGCTTCTTTTTCTCGCCAATCACCTGCTCCATCAGTTTGACTGAGGTAAAACAGATCTGTCATTATTGACCTGTTAAAAAAAGAGACTCAAAATCAACCTTTGAGATCATCAAAAAAATAGATAACAAAGTAAGTATTTCTTGCCAAACTATCCAAAAACTGTATCTTAACACAAGAATAAAAATATTTACCACTTTATTGCTATGTCACAGTTACATTTAAGAGGCAATATTACAATGGATGGGAATTCCTTTATCTATTATACAATCACATTCCCACATTATTTACGGTAATTTTTCTTCCTAACCATTCCAAAGAATATTCATAATGAATGAATTCTTGATGGCAGATTGGTGAAATGAGTCACTAGCAACAATACAAAATATGCACATTTCACATATTCAAAGTAATCAGAAACATGTAAAGTAAGCAAAATAATAGGAAGATGGTAAAATAATGTCTGTATTGTGTATGTACTCAGGTTCTTACATAAGGTTATCTTTAGTTTTAATTAATTCATGTTCTAGGACAGGGCTCCCCAACTCGCGGGCTGCAGACTAGTACTGATCCCTGGCCTGCTAGGAACTAGGCCGCGAAAGCAGTGGGCGAGTGAGTGAAGTTTCATTTGTGCATGCATGGGATCTAGAATGCACATGAAACCATCTGTCATGCCCCTGTCAGAGTCTGAATCCGAAGGGGAAGAGGAACGGCTGACAGAGAGTGAGAAAGTGGATCACTCTCTCTGAGGAAAAAACTGGGGAAGAGCAAAGTCAGGCTGGGCAGAGAAGGGGAGAGGTAGAACAAGGGAGAGGGGGTTCAGATGAAGACCAAGGCCCACCCCCTCCTCATCCTAGGCAGTGCAGGGAGGAACGGAGACGAGAGGAACATCGGTTGTGTGGCTTACGAGGGAGGAAAGGGACCCGATCCTCTTTACAAGGCACAGGTACTGATGGAGTTTAAAAGTAGAGGCAAATGGGAGGGGCGTTTGTCAGGAACAAACACTGAGTTTATCTGGTGTTTCTTGGAATCCTCCCAACTGGTTTGATTTATTGCCGTGCTACTTTACTTGTGGAATTCCTTATTTTGCTTGCTCTGCCGGATTAATTACTTTGTCTTGCCTTTGGATTTTTTGTTGGAAGTTTTCTGCTTACAACGTTTAGGACCGAAGTATTGCCAGCCAAAGACTATTACAGGTTGATGGAAGAGCTCTCTCCAGGCAGGAGAGTTGCAAGGGACATTGGGGGCCACAGTTGGTGATAATAAAGGGACTCTTATCGGTTCTCTGGCTGTGTTGCCTTTGTGTCATGCCCTGGGTCATCACACCATCCCTCCACCCAACGAGAAGGAGCATATCAGGTAAGACCAACGCCCCACCATATACAAATTTTAGATTCAATTTATATGCAGATAAAACTTTAGTGGTTAAATGGAATCAGAAATCTGGGAATTTGAATTTGTTTGAAAAAGCACAGTTGAATAAACCAGTCACATGCGCAGCTAGCGAATCAGTAGTAAACCGGTTCAGATTTCACCTCTGATACAATTTGTTTTCAAAACCACTGCATTCTATATGCTACATTCTGTTAAAATACAAGTTTTTTCATATAATAGCTATAATATAATAGTTTCACAGTTCATTTCGTATTTTCTAATTAATTGATCTATGAAATTTATGTCATAATTTCAATTCCATGGAAGTCAAGGGTCCAGGATTTTGGATAGATTCTGCAAATTAGATCATTGGAGATACTTTGGTTGAAAAAAAATTGTCTTATGAGACACTATTTTGCCAAGTTAAAGATTACAGACATGAGAGTTTTAGTAGGATATAGATAGACAGATGGTAACTCCAAAAAGAACTTTTGTTTGTATGGGCACTATTTATTGATGCTTACCATATTAAAAATTAAAATTGATGCCTTCATTGCTATATCATTTCTCACAATTCTTTGATGGGATTTTAATATTGTAATATTTTTTAACATAGGCTGGCAAATAATTTTGATTTTGTAGACCATTCAGGACTTTAAGAAACACTGGTTTATAATGTTACTCTATTTAAGCAAGTTTGAAACTGTTACTGCAACAAATATTTAATAATAGCTACTAGTACCTTTCATGATCACCCAAGTCAGATAGAAGTTCATCAGTATGTTTATGCAATTCATTTCCTTCCAAGTTTTTTAATTTCTTCAGTTCACTCTGGAGAAAAAACCAAAACTCCTTGACTCCATTTTCAATCCTTCTTCTTAGAATTTCATGGTCTTTTCCAAAGCTCACTAATAAAATAAAGTGAACAGTAATTAACATTAATTCTCTAAACAGGACGCACGTTGTGAAATTTAAGTATTCATCTAAATATTTTAAAAAATGATCTCCTATACAAACCATCTCCTGTTTGTTGTTTGTAATTTTCCATCTGTTCTTTGGCTTTTATTAGCTGTTCTTCTAAAGCATGTACTCTTCCTGCAGCAGGGCCCTGATCAATAGAACCATCTGGTATCCTATAGCAAAAGTAAAAGTGTGTGAAAGAATTAAATGGACACATGCAACTGCATTATTGATAGTTCTGTATGTTAAAAGCTGCAAGAATTAGTACTGCAATTAGGAAATCACCCAATCAATTTTTAAAAGCATAGCCCAATAATAAATTGCAATATGGTAATCACATTGTCATAAGAGTGAGCAATTTGTAAATATTATATCGCAGCCTAAATAAAGCTTTTTTTTGTCCAACACCACATCTAGAGACTTTGATCTCACTATAAATGGACAAGAAAAGAGAATTATTAGTGTTGTTTTAAGCACAATAAAATATGAGGAAAGCATACAACCGCCACTCCTGTTTATAATTGTACGCAGGATGAATATCACATACTGAACAATTTAGTTCAATACAAAAGAATGTCATCCATCCACATTTTGATACAAGTTTTCAAGTTTGCACTATCCAGATATACACATATCACAAGTAACCTCTGCATTGGACAAACTTTCTGTAGATGGTTATGTGCTATCAACTCTGTAGTCCCAAATGCTTCAATTCATTCAATTCTGATTTACATACATTCATAAACTAGAACTTAAGAGATATATTTGGCTTTATTATTCTTATTTGGAATTTAATAAGGAAAACCTTCCAGATACTATGAATTAGGAGCTGGAAACTACATTGAGTAGCTGAAACACTCAGTCAAGTACAAATAGAATCCCAGACTTCTGGTGGCACCGCAGGCGCCGTGGACGCTCTTTTCTTGAGCGCCAGCCCCGCGATCTCGTAAAGCTGCTAGAACAGCGCAAATCAGCTGTCTAGCGGCTTGAAAACTTTCTCCCCGGGAAAAGGGGAGGAAGAGAGCAGTCAGGCGTAGGTAGAGCTCCCCAAGGAGCCCCAGGAACAATTCTGGGGCTCAAAGGGTGAGAGCTCCCTGGAAGCCCGACAGAGCTCTGGATCCGGGACGTTTCTGCTTCAAGCAAGCAGAAGAAGACGCCGCGACCACCCCTGCAAACAACGCTTGGAATAAACATCATTCGGAAGCAGGCTGAGCAAACTCAGGAGAGATTAGATCTGCAAGTACTGAACTTTAACTCCAAATGTGTATTACTTCCTTCTGACTTATTAAGGGGAGAAAGTGAAACCAAGATGGCGATTGAGCTTTAATGGGGCGTGAAAGCGAAAGTTAAAAAGGAAAGTTTCTTTTAGTGTTGGCAGCCCCTGTTCAAAATTAGAGATTTGTGTTTAAAAAAAAAAAAGGAGAAGATCAAAGATTACAGCAGTGATTTTTTAAAAAAGGATTGATATTATTTAAAGACTGATTTCTGGATTTGGTGTATCTATTGTTCTGGCAGCTGATTAAATTTAAATTGGAAACCAAAAATGGCTTCAAAACAAATTAAGGCTATTGTCTCCAAAAGTGCGGAGACTTCGCCAGCTCAAACGTCCAGATTGCAATCTCTCTCTGTTCCAACGGAACCAACAATATTAATATTTGAAATGTTGCAGGAAGCCCTCAAAACAGAAAAAAAAATTGCTTCAATGTTTCAGGAGCAAACTCAAGAAGTTGCTGAAGAAATAGCTCAGGTCAAAGAGACTATTCAAAAACGAAACCAAGAAATTAGAGAAGATATTATTATGGCAGTATGAGGATTGGCAGGACACATTGAAGCAATAGATGAAAAAGTGGAAGAAATTAAGCAGTCTAATGAGAACTTGGAAAATAAAATGGGGGAGGTCCAGGACAAGATAGAAAGAGCAGAGGCGGATGTGATAATGATACAATATAGAGACATGGAATTTGCTCTGAGAATAAGAGGCCTCAAGGAAAATAAGCAAGAGAATTTGAGAGAGATCTTTTCAGAAGCATTTGCACAGATAATGGAAGATCAAAAAGCAAATTTTGAATGGCAAATTGACAAAATTTATCGTGTCAATTCATGGGTGGCCAGACAGAAACATCTACCAAGAGACATTGTAATCTATTTTACAACAAGGAGATTACGCAATGAAATCCTACAAGTCACTTTTAAAAATAAACTTCAAGTGCAGGGGCAGGAGGTTTTAACACTGAAAGAAATTCCCCCCAAAATGTTGAGAGCCAGAAAGGATTATGCCTTTCTGGTGGAAGAACTGAAATACCGTCAGATACAGTATAGATGGGAACTTCCAGCTGGTCTAGTGGTGAATTATTCAGGAGAAAGATACCGTCTCAACTCAGTGTGGAAGGCAAGAGATTTCTATACCAATGTATTAAAGGCTGGATGCCCTCAGCCCCAGGAAGCTAGAAGGAAGACGGAAATAGAGGGGCAAGAAAGGGGGAGAAAGAAGAATTGTTGGCACAGGCCCAAAAGGGTGATTTGATTATTCAAGAAGAATTAATACAATTTTCACCTACTGTTCAAGCTTTGGAGATAGAAGAACCTAAGGATCAAAGACAGACTCGATTGGCAGCTAAGCGTCAAGAAGAATTAAGAGTGCAGCAACTTCAAATGATTCGAGATACTACAAAAACAGAACCAGTGGGAGGAGCAAGGCCAAAAAGTAAAATGCATGGAGATTTCCAGCAGATGCTCCAAGTGCTTCAGGGGGCCAAGAATGGCAACTAGATTTTTGGAATGTTAATGGCCTAAATTCACCACAAAAGTGGAGAAAAATATTTCATTATTTAAAACAGTTTAAAAATAATGTAATTTGTTTACAAGAGACTCATATTAGAAGTAAAGATCAAAAATACTTAATAAATGCAAGGTTAAGTATACATTTTGTTGCATCTGCTCCTGAGAAGAAGAATGGTATAGTTATATACCTAAAAAAAGACTTAATTGCCAAATTAATTGAAGCAGATGATCAAGGAAGATTTATAGCAATTGAACTTTTAATAAAAGGAGAAAAAATACTTTTAATTGGAGTCTACGCACCGAACCAACAACAGGAAAAATTTTATAAGCTTTTACATTCCAAGTTATTACAATAGGACTATAAATCATGTATTTTATTGGGTGATTGGAATGGAGTTTTGGACATTAAAAGAGATAAGAAGGGGCTCTTGCAGAACATTTCAACGTGTGCCAGATTGCCAAAATAGTTTTTTGAAATGATGGAGGATATGGAACTGAGAGATATCTGGCAAGAGAGAAACCCCGAAGAAAAAGACTTTACCATTTTTTCTGATAGACATCAATCTTTCTCAAGGATTGATTTTATATTAATTACAAATGATTTCTTTTCCAGAGAGAAGAAGATGAAGATTTGTCCAAGAGTTTTAACGGATCATAGTCCAGTCTGGATGGAATTAGAGTATGGAAGGGGATCTAAGAGGTCTTGGAGGTTAAATGAAAATCTGTTTAGATATGAGGAAAATGTAAAAGAATGTAAAAAATTTATGAAAGAATTTTTTATTATAAATATGCATAAGGGTACATCTATGAAAATGGTTTGGGATGCAAGCAAAGCATATGTGAGAGGCATTTTGATGCATTTGAATAATAAACATAGATGGAAACAGGAAAAAAAGGAAGCATTTAGAAGAGGAAATCAGAAAAAAAGAACAAGGTTTGATATTGAATCCAGCAGATAAGAAAATAAAAGAGGCAATTAATTTATTGCGAGGGCAATTTAATATGTTAATGGCAGATCAGGTCGCAACTAATTTGCAATATGCTAAACATAATATTTTTTGTAATGCTAATAAACCAGGGAGGTGGTTAGCATATTTGTTAAGGAAAAAACAAAAGTCACGGTGATTATGCTGGTGATAAAATTCAAGGTACAGATATAGATAGATATCTACAGAAAGAGAATATCCCTACAATTACAAAAGAGCAAAGGGAGGGTTTAAATCAACCAATAACCACTGAGGAGATTATGTTTGCAATTAAGCAGTTGAAAGTGGGTAAAGCTCCTGGGACAGATGGCTTGACAGCTGCTTATTATAAACATTTGCAGTTAGAAATGGTGGGACCTCTTAAAGAATTATTTACTAATATACAATCTGGAGGAGATGTACCCCCATCTTGGAGGACAGCTTATATTTCTTTGATTCCAAAGGAGGAGCAAGACCACACCCAGCCAAAAAATTATAGGCCCATATCACTCTTAAATACAGATTACAAGATTTTTGCTAAAATATTAGCAAATAGGTTAATGACAGGTTAATGCAACAAATGATTCATAATGATCAAACTGGTTTTATAAATGGTAGACAAATGAAGAGTAATGTAAGGCAAGTTGTTAACCTATTGGAGTATTTGGGGAAGAACAACCAAATCCCTGCGGTGCTGGTATTTCTTGATGCAGAGAAAGCATTTGATCTATTGAATTGTCAATTTTTATTGAAAATAATAGAAAAGATGCAGTTTGGGGAACATTTCATAAAATCTATTAAGGCAATATATCAGAAACAAACAGCGCAAATAATAATTAATGGTAGTTTAACGGGTACTTTTAATATAGAAAAAGGAACAAAACAAGGATGCCCTTTGTCTCCATTATTGTTTATTTTGACTTTGAAATTTTTGTTAAGTAAGATACGTGGGTCAGACAAAATAAGTGGAATTAAGATTAGGCAGTATGATTATAGATTACGAGCATTCGCAGACTACTTGGTTGTTACTTTGACCCATCCATTACAGTCGGTTGTAGGTCTAATGGATATAATTAATCAATATGGACAAGTATCTGGATTTAAAATAAATGCAGGGAAAACGAAGATAATAACTAAAAATATGACTATAAATCAAAAAGAAGAATTAGAAAGACTAACAGGATTTGAAATTGTAAAAAAAGTTAAGTATTTAGGGGTCTATATTATGACATCAAATGCGAAATTATTTAAGTATAATTATAATCCATTGTGGCAAAAAATACAGAGAGAGATGGAAAACTGGAAAAAATTACAATTATCCTTGTTAGGAAGAATAGCAGCAGTAAAAATGAATGTTTTGCCTAAGTTTTTGTTTCTTTTTCAAATGATACCAATACTTAAAAAAGATGAGAATTTGAAGATATGGC